GCAGACTGCAACATTGTCATTCAAAGCTGTTTTTTTTTTGTCCATTTCAGTTCAAAATACTAAAACATTTAATCACTAAAGCATTAAAAAGAATTTACACTCTATTTATTTTGATCAGCTTACCTCTTCAGAAATATATATACCCCAAAAATGTGCATACATTAGCAGCTATAAACATTACATGGCATATCACACTATGTCAGCTTATATGAAAACGTACAAAATGTGAATGTATTCAAAAAACTATTCTGCAGTTACTATCTTTAAAGCAAGACATAAAATCATTATGAAGTCTTGTAAGCATAACACTGTTTCAAACAGAAATAAATATATAACACTTTCTGGTAAATTACAGCAGCAAAAAACAAGAGGCATCCTTTTTTTAAGCAAGACTTTCACCACTATAGCAGCTGTTCAGACCTGAATTCCTCTCACAGCCTGCTTTATATTTTCCAGTAGGGCTTTATTTTCTGGACTCTGATAACGATCTTGATTTGTATACATGTCCGTCAAAGTGGTCACGTAAGCATCAAAATTTTGTTCATTGATTGGTTCCTACGAGATATTAAATAGTAGTTCATATACAACTTTTATTTTCTTAATCGTATATTCATTTAAGCATAACATATTATCAAGGCATATTGCCACCATTTTTTATAATATTTAAAATGCCTATTTAGTTCTTACTTAATTTTACAGGATACTCTGGAACAGGCCCTCCATGTCTTTGTTAGCAGTTAAATGTATCTTTATGGTTTCAGTGTTGTTACCACAAATATCCAACTGGTTGATGAAACATAAACATAAAAAAAGACATCTATTGCATGAAGTGAACTGAAGATCGCCAAATTCCTTAACTTGTGCTCTCAATCACTTACCATATGTGGCAGCTGGATATTAGCTAGACTATGAATTAAAGACTGGCTTAAATTGGCCAATTCATGAAGAAGAGACTCATTTTGCTGTTCAATTACTTTGTTCTCCTCTTCTATCGTCTTCAGGTTGCTCTCCATTGTGGTAATCTAAAATGGACAAATTGTGTACAATGTAATATAAGGCAAGCTGTTATAAAGCATGTGCTCTTTGAAGGGAGTGATAACAGAAATACCAGGGAAAGGAGAAAAAGGTCTATTCATTCACGCTTAAAAAGGTTTTGCTTGAGTCTGCAATTCTTATCATTGTTATGGGTTTCTTATTCCTACTGCATGTTGTATGACTTCGACAGCTTGTCTTTTTAATATTGGTAATAATGAATGAACTTGGATTTGATTCCACTGCTTTAGAGTTTTTCTTCTTGAGTCAAAAGGTATTAACAAGGACCTTAGTTCTGCAAGTTCACCCATGTGGTTAAACACTTGTACTCCTATGAGCCTACCGTAGGGACATTCTGCAGTAAGTCATGCATGTCTTATATTTTCTGCAATATATATATATGTATCTATATATCTATAGTCAGTTAAGCATGCACAGCTCCTTGCTGCCAGTGTTTAGCTCTTTGTAAGTACAATTTGATTCTATGCAAATTCACAGGGCTGCTTTTGAAAGCTGAACAATTGCATGTTATTGCAATGCATGTACAATTTTGGAAAGTTTTCTAATAAATACAATGACATGCAAAACTGAAGGAACTGCAGAAAACTTGCACGTAGCCAGGAGAGTGGGTCCCTGGGGCATGACTACATGTACAGGTGAAGACAGCTGAGAGTATGCTCCGCCTGTGCTCCCAGGTGACCAGACACAAGTTAGCTCCGACCTTGCATGGTGCCGTGCTTGACCTAAAAAGCATTGCTGAGAGGCAACTTACACAAGCTTGTACAGAGCTCTGTGCTAATGAAGCTATAAGGATTTCAGATGAGCGCTGGCTTATGTCCAACTCGTCGAAAGCACATGCAGAGCTCACTCGTATCTGTCTACGCTTTCCTCTGTAGACCTGTCCTTACTTTCCACATTGGATGACAACCGTTAACATCTATTACAAAGTGTACAGTGTGCTTTTGTGTGTGTGTAGGTTAAAATATTCATTGACAAGAGGGTGAAAAAAGATGCCAGAGAAGTGGAAAAAAATGCCAAAGAACACAAGGTTTTGAATTCTCAAAATGAGCTTTATCCATTCGTACATTGGCATAGAGAGTGAACTGTGGGAAGAATTGATACAATTTAAATGCTGATGGGAAGGCTGGAGGTTTGTGCGGTAGTAGCAGGCAGAAGGGGAAAAGGTTTTTAAGTGAATATTAACTTAACCATGGGTGAGTAAATTTTAGGAAATTGTTGGCACAATCAGGTTGTTAGATGCCTCATGTTTTATTCTGGACCTAAAGTTTCAGTCTGCTTATGGAAATACAGCCCACTAGTTGATAGAAGTAACTTTGACAAGTGATGTGGCTACATAAAACGATCTTCACGTATCTCTTACTTTGACTACAGGTGTTTAGATAGCAGTTAATCCAAGCTGTCAGTATTGCAGGGGTTTGGTTTTGTCACAATTAATTGATTTTGAGCTATTTCTACAACATATTATAGAAGGCAATATCTTTCTTCAGCTTTGAAACTGGAAACACATCCTCCTCTCTTGTTTTGCTTTCAGCTTGTTTATGTCAGAGAGCAATGCCATATGCGAATGCAAAACATCTTTTATAGGTGCTTGTTAGAGTCAGTCATGCTCCAATATTTACCCTAAAAACTGTTTTTTTTTTTATTACAGACCAAAGTGAAGAGTCTGATGTCAATGAAGACCCAGTTCAGTATGGCATACTGCTGCTGCCTCACACTAACTTAAGTAGGTGCTGACATTTTATAGATTTTCTAGCTAGTTGAGCACTGCTACTTGAGTAGATCTTTTTTCTTTTTTTCATGCGAGATGCTGACTATCTGCAAATACAGTGGCAGCTGATCAGTATATCTCGCAATTTCATTTGGTACTCATCTGGAAGTAACTTCAGATAACTGGCATACTTAATTATTGTATTCGCTTGCTTAAAGGCTGAAATTTCCCTCCCTACTTTTTACCCTAAAACTAATGAAGGTTCACTCGTACCTATTCTAAAAACAGGATACCCTGTTGCTTGTATAAGACACACAGTTATTTGCAGATTTTTCTTTCCCCCTCTCACCTTTATGTGTTTCTGACCCTCTCATACTTCTGGACCTGCATGTTAAATTTGGACAAATTTACTAGAAGATCTTAGATTAAAAATACTTTCTTCCAAGTCTTATGCAAAAAGGCAGCTGAGTAAAGCAGTCTTACGAATGCCCCAACTAAGAAAAAGGCTGCAGCATGACTTTATTAATATAAAACTTTCTACGTGGAAGGGAAGTTCTGGTTGTAGGAAAAACTTTCGCTGGCACTTACAATCATATGGGATGCAAATCCATATCAAACAAGACTGATGCTACTTCTGGTATTCACAGAACTTCCGCTATTTTCCCATTGTGTATTCCTCGCCTGTGAAGTCTTATTGAAATCTAGGTTGCACAATGATTTTCTAAAGGTTTATCAGCAAACATTTTGTTATGTTCAATATAATTTTACTGTTGCAAATAAAGGGGACGGTTGACTCTGATCCCTTTAATAGATTGATAATGACTATGATGTAACTCTCTACATGTTGGAAATTTAAATTGCTTATCTTCAGGAAAGTGTATGAATTCAAAACTGAGGCCTCCGAATTTTTGTGAAGTTTGACGCAGCCGGGATTTTCTGCTAGGCATCAGTAGCTAGTTGGGGAGGAACAGGTAGGTATTAGACCAGGCTGCCCAGAGACTGTGGAATCTCTAGTGTAGGAAGTAAAGAACAGGTTAGACAAGCATCTGTCAGGATTGGCTTAGGAAGAGCTGGGAAGTAGGAAGGGAAGAAGACTGGTGGACAAAATAACGTTTCAAGGTCTCTTGTAGCTCTATTTCCTAGAATCCTATTAATTATTTTAATGACAGTATGTGCCATTACCAGTCATTCTACCCTTTTTCTAAATCTGCTGCACCAAGGTGTGAAAAGCTTCCTTTCAACTTGATGGCAAAATCATCGAGTATTTTTTACCAAGAATAGGGGGTGGTCCCAGGTAGTGCCTAATCTGATTTCTAAGAATATGCCATGGTACTAGTCTGAGATATGAAAGCTGGAACTGAGACCACTGAAGTATGGCTTCTGTATTCATTTCAGAACAAAACTTGGTGTGAAATTCCTAGCTAAATATTTGAAACTCAATACATGTTTTATGCTTGTGATAGTGTTATCATGACTTTTTTTTTTAACTCATCTGGCCAAAAATAAAATTAAAAATGCAGAAAGTTAGTGACAACTGGAGCATTTACCTCATGTACGCATAACGGGGTGCTTCACATTTTTTAAAATCTCAGCTAAATCAGTCTGTATGTGACTAGCACCCACAGCGTTGTATTAAGCAAAAGAAAACATAAGGCAGACTGCAAGCTGCCAGATTCAAAACTTAGGACCAAATTCCTCCAACATAAATACATATAATTTTCCTGCTATTGATTATTCTTCTTGCTTTACGTTCTTGCAGATTTTGTCCTCATTATCCTACAGTTACATTTGGTCACATCAGAAATCTGTGTAAAATATGTCAAATCCTATAAAGGCCAAATAATGACAACAGAACCCTGAACACTGGCATAAAATAGAATTGAGGTTTCAATATCAATTTGGCTAAGGTTTAGCAGTCAAAGAAAAAGCAAGATGAAGAGGCAGATCCTGCCTTCTATTTATGAGTATACAAGAGGAGGAGGAGCAGGACAATGGACATGGTGCTCTTCCCTACAAGCAGCAGACAAAGAAGTAACAAGGAATGGTTTACTTTGTTTCCATCAAGATCAATTGGATGCTTATGACTCTGGGACTAACGGCTGATAAATGGTGAGAACTGTGGTAGATCTCACTGTTGGTGTCTGTGCTCAAATCGTGTGAAGAAAAAAGCACCAGAAGCTATGTTGGACACCGGAAAATGTCAGGGAAAGAATTCAATTAATTTCCTTCCTTTGCCTTTTCCATCCAGTTTTAGGACTGGTGAAAAATTAATTTTTAAATAATAGTCTAATGTTAGTTTTTCCTTTTTTTTCCAACAGATTTATGTGAAACCTAAAAAGAATTAAGCTGGATCTGTGGGACCATTACTGCTGCCAAGGGCTGCACTTAGTGTACTGCATGATGAAGTGAAGTGTAATAGATGTTCACTTTCCTCTCTGTAACACACACCTGGCAAAAGCCACGCTGTTTATCTGGACTCCTTCACCTTGTAACTTACGTTAATGACCATGACCTCACCCGATATTTTAACTGCTATTAGAAAGGCCTAGCCATATCAAGGCGAAATACAAAGCTGACCATGAGAGGTCATGCTTTTGCCGTTATTTTAAAGAATACATTTTGCTGAGTCTTTTTTTTTTTTAATGCTGGTAACTGATGTGGAGATTGCATAATGGATATTATTTTCTGATTTTATAAATGGCAAATCACAGATAGAAGTCTTAATATGTAAGAAACATAAAAGGCAACTATATATTTCCTATATTTCCTTTAACCAGTCATGTAGAAAAAGCAGCTGAATTTAGGGCTTCATAAAACTGTTACCTGAGTGCGGAGTTTAATCATATCAGCTTCCATCTGGGAGTTGGATTCATTTAGTTCTTTGATTTCTTCATCTAACTGTTTAATTTCTTCATCATTTTCTATACCTGTGTGATATAAAAATAAAAGGGGTGTTAACTAAGCTTTAAATCGGAGTTCAGTGAATTAATTATTTCCATATTTGAAAATAAATTTATTTCAAGTAAAAGTAATAAAGTAAAAAAGAAAAAGGAAGGTTCTTCAAACTTTTCTTTTGAAGTTAAAACAATGTATTTTCCACTACTTTTCTTTTAAAAATTGCAGTAATTTTCCAGCGAGAGTGTTGAAAATGCCTAGAGGATCAATAAGACACACCTTTTTCTTTATATGTACTGATTTAACTTTGTATTATAAGAAGTGCACCTGCAGCAACAAATTTTCCACTGTCATATGAAACTTATTTGAAAGACTGTGTCCACTTACAGATCTTCTGAAGGAAAAGAAAGTATCTTAACATGCTAATCTCTTCATATTACAGCACTGTGAAAATCATTTGCAACTAATTCAGAAGATTTTTTTTCCCAATACAGTGAAATGTTGTTGATGCACTGGGTTATATTGTGATTCTGCTGTTGCTTTAATAATTTCATGGTTCAGAAGGGTGTTATTAAATAATGATATATAGGATAATTTGCAAAATGGAAGTGATTTCTGAGTTTTCATGGCATAAACATTTAGAGAACAGAATTTTAAAGATACCTGCATCTTTAAGGATTCAGACAGGAATAAACCGTAAAGGTTTTATTTATTTATCCTTTTAATTACTATAACAAAGCATAAAATAGTCCTAGGAAGAACTAGATCTTTTTTCTCTCAAGTCAAAGTCTGAACTCCTAAAGCTAGAGAAACTGGTGTTCCCACTGTCTTGTTCTGCATGGCAGATGCAGTTTTCAATACTTCCCAGGTTTTAGAGAAAATTACATCCAGATCTTCCACTCCCTGGTTACCCGCTACTGAACAAAAGCAACCAAGACTTTCTCTAGCTGTGCTGGCAACATGGGTTGCAATGGCTCCTGCACTGTGTTGAACAAAGCATTTTCTATAAATAGAATATAAATATAGCATTTTCTATAAATGCTTTGTGGCTCTCAAACACAGTCAACACCAATAGTTAAGAGGGCAGTATCTTTAGGCATGCACAGTCACAGACTAAGTGACTACATAAAGTTTTCCAAGAAAACTCAGGAGTTAGGCACCTCCCAGACAAGCCTTTTGTGCATTACCTATTTGAACTGAAGCACTTACATTTTGCTTTAATTGCACTTCAACTATCAGGGTACTATCCTGACTTTCATCCAAGGTACTTTCATCATCTTCCCTGCAACTCAGGGCTCCCAGGAAGAATTGCAGATTATCGGAGATGAAATGGCACACAGCCATCTACATCTGCCAGAGGTTACAGAGCCACAGCTCCAAATGAATTCAAGGGAGCTCATGAGGACTCAACACCTCTGGAAATCAATTTTTTTCCTCTTCTGAATCCTGCAACAATATAAGACCAACTATCCACCTTGGTGAATGAGATATGAACCAGAAAATTATAATGGTATATTCTACTTTGAAATATTTTAGTGTTTTAGATTTATGTAGACATAACTCAGACCAGCCCGACCACTCCACTGCTGGCTCAGATTTCCACAGCACAAAACCCAGTTTCAATTCTACTGACAGTGAATTCACTATTTATACAAAAAAGATTTACATACATAGGGAAAAAAGCCCGTAGACTAATGACAACTTTAGCTTACAAAGAAGTAATATTTAAAAAGGTAATGTTTAAAAATTTACCATTACTGGCCCGCTGCTTTATTGTTAGCATTTGTTCTCCAGACAGCTTTGCTTTCTTCATTGCTGAAGTAGCTCTGGGGCATCCTGATAAACTGTGAACAGTAAGGAGGCTGTTAATTTTGATAGGTCATTGAAAATAAATCATTTATCCAAAACTGTAATAAAAACAGTATCAGAGACAAAGTTTATCTTCACTGCCTGGCACTGAAAGAGTGTGTTAGTCCAAAAAAAAAAAAAGCACTTACCAGTAGTGATTTCATGATTTTATTCTTTCTTCCAAATTATTTTTGTACAGACAGCTAATATAAAAGTCAGATATATCTTGTAAAACTATAAATCTTGGAACAACAGTCCGATTTTCTAAAGACACGATGCTCTTATTAAAAAGTTTTATTTTAAAAACAGTTACTGTGTAAATACTCCCCTTTGAATTTACACGTCCCCACTCTGAACTTCCACCCTTTGTAATTGATATGTTCAAACATGGAACTGAATGCTGACAGAAGGGGACATGAGCAACCTCTCACATCCAAATAACTAATTCTTATAAACTATGCTTTTTTTTGTGAGTATCACCTACCAAGCTGGCTAAATTGCCCTTTTCTAAATTGTTTCTTAAAAAGGCAGTAACTATGTGTTAGCTCAAGAAAAGTCATTCCCATAAAAATGACCTTGCCTTGATGAGGGATATATATCTCTTATAATGTATATTTGTTACGGTTATGGATGTAGACTCAGTTATCTCGTCTCCCATGCTGCCAAAATATTAAGCTTTTTAATTACATTGTGCAAAACAATTTGATAGCAAATGCAGTCTTAGGTTTTATTGTAAAAATAAAAATAATTATCAGACAGTGCTCACTTTTATAAATAATTGTATACAGAAAACTATCCCCTTTTTCAAAATCACATCTTTAATGTAGTTAAATCACAGTTAAATCACTATCACAAGTAAGAGGAAACATATATTCAATCTAATTTAACGATGGAAAACTATATTCTTATTCTGAGCAAGCTTTAGCAGCGAAGGGAATTTGGAAACTTACTAAACAATTCCCTATTACTTCAAATTCACAGTTTCATACCCACTGAAACTGAATAATGTCACATACATCTCATTGCGTACAGTTTATAATTCCTCTTCAGATCCAATGGAAGATTATTTTTGCAATTTTTAATTATGTAAATCAAATTCAAAGCTTATACTCAAATAATCTCTCTGCAATGTTGAACAAGTTTCTGAGGAATGTTGTGTCTTCGATTAAAAGCATTTCTTCAAGTAATGACCCATCTTCCTACTTAATAAAGTCTTCTAATTTAAGTATAATGTTTAATTATTGAAAATGTTTCTCTGAAAGGCCTGGACTACTATTATCAAGTGCAGCCATCCAAAAAAGGAAACTTTTCCCAGAAAAAGGTCTAACAGAAAATTCCTTTTCTCAGCAAAAGAATCAGTGTTCAATATTTTATACAGCTCTGTTACTGAGAAGGTATGTAATAAAACAATACTAGTAGTATCAAGAAATAGCATGATCTAGTAGCTTTTCACTGTAGCCTGGTGGTAGGATGCCAGATTATTGTTCCAAGTTCTGTTACAGACTCACTGTGTGACCATAAACTGTCCTCTTGAAGTGTCAAAGGGAGCCTTGAGGAAGATTAAGGAGGAGGAGAGGATTAGGCGTTTTGGGAAAAAAACATTGGCACAGGGAAAGGAATGAAAGATAACAGTATATGCAAAGTTTCTGCATCATTTAATTGACTTCATTTTTGCATCCTTTCAATTGATTTAATGAATTTCCTCATATTTTGTCCTCATTCTTTTTCAGGATATAGCATTATTGGGCATTGTAACAACTGTGTTAGTTTACTCTCATCTTGGTAGCAGCTTTTTCCTCTCTAAACGTCTTGACCGATGACAACCTAGGGAATCCCTCAAAATAAAATTATCCCTCAAACAGCCCACAAGTATGGCATTCAAACCCTAAACAGATCAACATGAAACCTGGATGCTAGAATTGCGCACCTGAAAGTGCAGAAGAATAATGAAACAAAGAAAAGTATGTTCACAAGTATTGGAAATCTACTGTGAGGTTCAGTGTGCCTACATCCAAACTTTGGTGCCAAAACCCAATCTTATTCCCAGGCTATGGTTATGTACACCTAGTTTTTAGGACTGCCTAACCCTGTAGATATGTTCCCAGCTTGTTTGAAAGATTACCTCTCTACTAGTATATTCAGTGTGCTTCAAATCACGTTCTCACCCTTGAGACCCCAGGTACAATGTCCCATATTTGCACTACTAAGCTCTCCTACTCTACAAAATATGTTGGTCACATTCTAGCTGCCTAGTGGCAACTGTCGCTGGCCCATACTATCTCCATTGGAAAGATACCTGTCGCAAGGGTCAGCACTTATATATCACTTACACCGCTGCTGCAGTTCAGGCCTACTGGCACCAGATGTCCTCTGCTTAAACTGGAAACAGAAAGATCTGGGTCCTGTGCTCTATTCTTGCTGCACAAACTGTTGGAGAGTTGTTCTGCATGGATTATCTACCTTCCTCTCGAGGCACCCAGATGAGTCATGAGTTAGTGAGGGGAAAGGCAAAGGACTGCCTATTTTGGGGCCTACTAGTGAGGATGCAGAAGGCTTCCACATCCTGTAGCCATATTAGTTTTGTTCTTACCCACTGGTGATCTAATACAATATGCAGATGGAGGAGGGCTTTGACCAAAAGGGCTTTCTTTCCACGCAACTGCATGCCCAAATCACAAGCTTCCTCTTTTTGCTTTCCTGACCCTTACACTCTTGGCTTTAACATATGCATCATGTACCGCTATGACTACCTTTAGCTTGTTATGTGTTTGTCCTTAGAAGAGGCCATGAATAAACAGAAGGTTCTAACTTTTCCTGTGGCTTTATGCAATTTAAGAGAGCATTCAAAACTCCCAGAGGTACCAAATTCAACACAGGGGAAGATGCCAAAGCCAGACCATGCCATCAACTTCCTCTGTAGGTCTTTACCGGCAGATCTGTCTCGCCATTAATTGTATATTGTATTGTAAGTGGATTAGCTCACTTTCCTGAGCCAGGCACTTACAATTTCAATCAAGCAGATACTAAGCTAGTAACCTAAATTGGAGGACTGAGTTCTACTACAGTTTATTTAACTTGGCCAAATTCTTCAGAAATGGATAAGACAAAGACAGCAATATGCATCCTCTTTGCCCAGCTTTGTTCTTAATTAAGTTACCTAAAAATACTTCAAATAATTTAAAAAGTAAATTAGGACTTTTAGGATAAGCTGCTACTCTGCAAGGAAATTCTACCTCTTCCCTTCTATGTTCTTGACTATGTTTACTTCTCCTGAAGGTAACTGCTCTTTCTCTAAGTTGAGAACAACCAAAAGAGGGCAGGACATATGAGAAGGTAAGAAGAAAAACAGAGCTAAGTCAGCATTGCACCAGAAGTGGGCTGTTGTACAGAGGCTGAACCTCACAGAGGTGTAAAGTTAACCAAAAAGCTTGAATTGAGATCCCAGTGAGACTGGGAGTGGCTCAAGATTTCTAGAAGACTGGGGGATAGAAGAAGACAGAAGACAAAAAGGAGTAGGTATGATTTTATTTATCTCAAATATCTTGAGATTTTATTTGTTTTCCCATGGCTGGCAAACAAAAGAGTACAAGTGAAAGCCATTTCAGTGCTTTAAGAGTTAAGCAAAATATGCTTTAAACATCTCAAAAATCAAAAAAGACCAAGAGAAACATGCTAGCTAGTAGTTTTGGTAAGGATAACACATCAAGTTTAAAGCCTTTACTGTTGATGCCTGTTGTAGGTTTTCTGTTACAAGTGGAATTAGAGTGTAATCCTGCTTTGGTTTATTTTTTATATTTTAACAAACCTTACACTGACTTTTACACAAACATGGAATTCTGCAGCTTGTTCATTCCAGCAAAGAACTAGTAAAATTAATCACAGTTATCTCACTTGCTACTGCCATTATTCTCATACACATGAGAAATCATGCAAATGAAAACATAAACACAGTTGAGTATTCTTTCCATAATAAAAAAATGAATAAGGCTTTCTAACAACATTGCTGGGGGCACTGCTGTAATAAGTACAGTATAAACGTACTAAGCCATCATTTATCTCTGTCAGATTATGGATGCCACATACTGTGGCATCAGCTACAAATTTTGGTGGGGCTGTCAGAAGCACCAATACTCAACTCCTGGCTCCCTCTGAGTTCCTGATTCAGCAGGAGCTGTGAACTGCTGCTGCCAGAGAGACGATGTATCAACAACCAGCTGATCATCAGCATCTTGTCTCTTTGAGATGCAATGTGTCTTGACTCTTGCTGAATTTCTACTGTCAGGCCTAATCTCTAATTTGAGAAAGAAAAGTGCAGTCTGACACATCATCCTTGAAAGCCAACCTCTGCCATGATTGACAAATACTATGAAAAATGAATTAAACTGTCAGATTAAAGTGATCTAGGGTCAGATCCTGCAGACCTCCTGTAAGGCATGTGCTAAAATTTGAGAAGGTCTTAATTTTTGCTGGTTGGCTGGAAACATCTGACATCATAACACATTTATATTGGAAATGTGCTTTTGTTGGGCATGGGTGCTAAATAGAGAGGTGCATGGCTGGGACCTCCTCATGCAGCTTTGCTTTGCAGGGCATGGCACTGCCCATGCAACAGACATTTCTACACACTCTATACCTGTAGGACTGACAGGTAGAAGGGGTGACTGGGTTTTATGCCATGCAAGTTCAACCTGCATTAATCAGGCTTGTTTTTACAAGAAGAATTTATAAATAGAGACATGCAGAGGTGAAGTACTAGTAGCTCTATAAACTCTACAAAATAAGCTCCATCCATATGTACAGCTACATCTTACCCTAACTGCCCTGAAGAGTAGTGACTCACGGAAACCCAATCATCTAAAAGGTATGAAGAAAGACTATATGCACAAATTAGGATAAAGAATATATGGTGATTGCATCTGTTAGAGTTGAACACAACATGAAGAATGGTTTTTCTTTCTTGTTTAGGACTGTGGTTATATTACTGCGACCTATGCCT